CCACCACCAAGCTCCTGTCAGCATACCTGTGGCCGGTGCTGGGTAGGCTGAAGCAAGGCTGTTTGCGCACTGGATCCCTGTGTATTTTGTGGGCAATGAGAACATCACCATTAGCCCTCAGCATCTCAGTGAAAACAGCGTAGTTTGCTGGGAAGCCAACACATGCTAACAGGGAAAGCAACCCACCTCCTTGGAGGAGCTCTATTGACAGACGGGCTGTGATGCTGGGCCCAGCCTCAGGAAGAAAGCTCTCTGTTTGGAAAGCGACAGGAGTTGTTCTCTAGCTGTAGTTTCCCACACACCACACACGGAGCAATTTTGTTTAAGGCAGACACATCTCCCATCGTTTCCCCGGCACAGGAAAACAATCAAAGAGTTAAGACCAGTTTCGGTGAACTGAGGAGGCAGAACCAATACCTCATGCAGTCATGCTCAATCTCCATGTAACAAGAATCTCCTGGGCACCAGGCCACCCTGCAGCTTGGGTCTCTCCTGCTCTGAGTGCCACTCATAATTCTGCAGACATTAGGCTCACGCAATTCTACTTACCTGTCTGCCTACCTGGCTGTTAAGACTCTTCTGGGCAGAGCACACCAGCTTGGGATGCAGAGTGAGCCAGGCTGCCAGGATGAACCTTGGCTTCTGTGCTTCCTTGTGTCTCAGTTTCTCCACCTATAAAATGGGTAGCAGTAGCACCTACTACGGAAGACTGTCTTAAGGAGGGGTTGGCAGGGGAAGAGCAATGGGGTACCGGGTAAATTTGCTCTAAGTTCATTGTATATGTATACAAAAATAATCCCATGTTCCTGAATAATAATTATTATTTAAAATGTATTAAAAGGAAAAAAACCAAAGAGTTCCCTGAGGGTGAGAAGTATCTGCTTGCAATTTTGCTTGGACTGGTCCTAGGCATGTGGGAGCCACAGCGGGTTCCATCTCTTCCTAGAGAATCCTCATTTCCCCCTTGATTCCTAACAGATTTTCCTAACAAATGAGCCAAGGGAGTTTCAGGCCTGTGAAAATGAGGTTGTTTTCAGTGCTATCCCTGCCTCCCAGAGGCCCTGCTTCTTATTAAATGGTTCCATCTACTACAGATCAAAATATTGCTTTCCTAGTCATAATTTTTAATAATTTATTTGATCAATGTAAGGTCTTTTTTAATTACAAATGGCCTAACTCAAAAACAAAATTAAGTGCAGGGAAGTAATCCTATTTTCTCCATGTAGTATATTCTGGAATAATATATAATAGCCAAGTGTGTCTTCCAAGCAAAGGTTTTTCTCAACCCAAGTGATGCTCTAAGAGAGAAACTCTCATCTGAAGATGTCAGCCACCCATTAGAACCAGGAGGCTGGCAGAGTGGATTGGCTAACGCCCATCTCCACGTGGTGACAGACGACATTTATTTTGTCTCTCCAGAAGAGGTTCACACTCAGGAACACCAGTTCATTCTCTACGCTGATTTCCCTGGCCCACTTGTGCACACACGCATATGCACAAGCACACAGGTACAAACACACACACAATACACACACACACAATACACACACACAACACATACACACAATACACACACACACACACACACACACACATGCTCAAGCCTGTCAACACCTTCACTGACTTCCCACCTCTTGGTTGGACAACAGGATTGACACATCAGGGGAGCTTAGGTTATACATTGGGTTTACAGGCCTGTGAGTAGAAGTTTGTGTGTCGTGGAACCATTGCCAGGTAGAGAGCACTGGCTCTTTTGTGGCTGGGAAATTTATAAGTAACAGGAGTAATCCGTGACAAGCGTGTGAGGGTTTATGAAAACACCGAAGAGAACGGACTCTGCGGCTGAAAGTGTCTTAGGAGCAGTCATCAGAAATCTCTTTACACACGCTCTCCACCAACCGGGGAGTAGATACTGGGTAGACATCACAGGCTGTAGGACTGTTCGGCTTTCTCTTTAATACCTGGCTGAGAGTGAGAGCTCAGAAAAGAAAGTCACGTGATACGGTTTCAGCCGCTGCTCGAGGAAAATGAGACCACAGAAGTGTAGCCAAGCGCTCAGGGCCCTTTACACTATCAGATTCAGGGATTCAGAGCCTAAATTTAACTTAGCTAGGACTGCTTCCCCTTAGCTCTCATGGAGAGACACTGTCCGATCTCAGAACTGTGCAGCCAGACTCTAGGCCTCTTCTATCAGGACAAGCAACATCTCAGAAAGGGGAGGATTTTCCTTTTTTTTTTCTTCTCCCTTGCTCTGTGGAGTTACAGACCCAATTAGGGCAGCATGGGGGGGGCAGCAGAGAGCAGAGTAAGAGGTCCCGCCCTGTCCTTCCCCAGCTGACCCAGGTCTGTAACCTCATGCCATCATCCCAGGCTGGGCTCAGGCTCTTGGTGCCTTTAGAGACGAGGTCTTACGAAGCCCAGCAAGCATTTCAGAGCAAGATGAGTGCAAAACGTTCAAGCTCTACACTGAAGCCTTACTTCCCTAAGTGTGCCACATGCTGGATAACTTTGGATGGGGCAAATGGAAATGTGTTGGGTAGCTGTGCATTAATTTGAGTGCATATTAGCCATACATAGGCAGCGCACAGTGATTTCATGGATATTGCTTCAGGATAAGGCTAACTTTATAGATCTCTAACATGGGGCAGTTCCCTTGCCTGTGTTTCCAGTTAGCTCCAGTCTGCAGCCATGTGCATAGATCGCCCCTAAGGTACAAGAAAGAAGGGGAACAAGCACTCACTTGCAAGTGTTTTTACATGTTTAGATCATTTTGTAGGTGCACACTTACTATCATAAGCATGATTGTCTTTCTTTTTTCCCCTTTGAGAGGATTTCTCTGTGTAACAGCCCTGGCTATCCTGGAATTCACTGTGTAGACCAGGCTGGCCTCGAACTCAGAGGTTCATCTGCCTCTGCCTCCCAAGTGCTGGGATCAAAGGCATGCACCACCATGCCCGGTGTAAGTGTGGTTTTCGTAACAAAATTTGTTCAAGTCTGAGAAACTTTAGAAGAATAGTTTTAATTTTTTTTAAAGATGTATTTACTTATTACATATACACTGTTCTGTCTACATGCCAGAAGAGAGCACCAGATTGAATTGCAGATGGTTGTGAGCCACCATGTGGTTGCTGTGAATTGAACTCAGGACCTCTGGAAGAGCAGCCAGTGCTCTTAACCTCTTAGCCATCTCTCCAGCCCCAATAGTTTTAATTTCTAAGATCACTGGAGGTATCAAAGATGCCACCCAGTGCTTGGGATTCAGCTCAGCTGGTGCTCACTCTGGGCAGTCTCAGGCAGCATGAACTCCTGCCATTGTCTACCTCTCCCCAAGAGCCAAGACTTCAGTCTTGGACTTCCGGGCAGAAAGGCTTCCAGTGAGGAGGCTGTCACCCTGAAATGCACATCATGGCCTTTACCATACTACTTAAGCTTAGGGTAGTTCTCATTGTCACCCTGAAATGCACATCATGGCCTTTACCATACTACTTAAGCTTAGGGTAGTTCTCATTGACAAATATTTGTTTTGCTGGTTTTAGTCACAGTTTAACAATGATTAATTTTCCAGTAATTTCAATATAATATACATGTTTTCCTTTTAAAAAAAAAAGAAAATTATCTTATATGCTATTTTATCTCCTTTGTGAAAAAAATCTATTTGTGGGGCTTTTGGGGGGGTTTGTTCTTTTGTTTATTTGACTGTTTTTTGAGAGCCAAAGCAATATATATTTACTTTAGTGAATTTGAACACTACAGAAAAAGCACAAAGTCGGGAGGCTCTCTGGCATTCCTGTGAGTTCAAGGCCAGCCTGATCTACATGGTAAATTACAGGCCAGAGTTACAGAGTGAGACGCTGTCTCAAAGAAAATAAAAGCATAAAGTGTTTTAAATCGTATCGCCATGCCAACTAGAAACTATATGTGTGTGAATATGTATATGTAACATTCTTACATGTCTAGACACGCATGCTGCTGCAGTTTTACTTTCTGCTGTAGACATGCTACTTTGTAGCTTGTTTTACCCTTCACGCGTTACCAGCCTTTCTTCTTTGTAGCCTATAGCCCTCTCCCCTCACCACCTCCACACACCACTTCCTTCCTTTTCACTAAGTAGGCAGCCTCTCCTCTGAAGAGGGGGAAGCCATGAGAAAACAGCAAATCCCTGGCTTTCCTGATGCTAAGTCAGCAAACACCCTCACAGCTGTGCACACATTCTCCCCGCTCCCTTTGCTGGGCCGGGAAGACCATTCTCTGCTGGCTCAGCTCGGCCCTCCTCAGTGTGCTTTGGACCTGACCGTGGTCTCCCTGAGGCTCTGGGTGGGGCTGTCCAGCAGCCTCCCAGCCTCTGCTAATGAACAGCTCTGAAGTCTACATGTCCTGGGTCGGGGAGATTACTCAGCCAGCAAAGCACATGCCGCTAAAGCCTGCAGACCTAAGCTGGTATCCTCAACGTCTACATTTGAGTTCACTGGCGTTTAGAGAGCTCTCTCCCAGCAGCTGGTGAGGATAAGGGCCTCCGATATGCTCTCACCGCCCCCATCCTTCCCACCCCAGTTTGCCCTTTTCCATCACAGAACTCACGGCAAATTGTGATCTGCTCTTAGGTCTGCATCATCTGGAAAGACCTGTAATGCTCAGCTTTAGTTGTCAACTTGACATGACCTAGCATAAGGAGTTTTCAACCTCAGGTCGGCCTGTTGGCATAGAGTTGGGGAGAAGGATTGTCTTGATTATCAACTGAGTTGGGAAGAACCACCCTGATTGTGGACGATACCACTGCATGCTGGGTCCTGGGCTGTCTAAGAGTAAACGATCTGAGTAATAAGCAGGGAGAGCAAACAAGGGTCCATGCATTTATTCTCTCTCTGCTCCTAACTATGGGCACAGTGCTTTGAGTTCCTGCCTCGACTGCTCCTCAATAATGATTGTAACCTGCGGCTGTAAAGCCAAATAAGCTACCATCTCCTTCCCCCAACCGCATTTTGCCGGGGCATTTTTCATAGGAACGGAAATGAAGCTAGGATCGGGACTGTGTCTGCTTTGCCGGCACCGGACCAGCACGCAGCTATAGGGAGAGTGAAGCCATCGCGTCGTCAGCGTATAAGCAAGGTGCAGCACACCAAACTCAGTCCACATCCGTTTAGCTTTTCCCACCACATCCCAGCGCTGTGTGGACCCACAAGTCTTCCCGTAAGTATCTGATTGTTCCCTTATTGAAAGGAGCTGATGGATGAGTGCTGAGGACCTGCCTACTTGTTTGGAATCTTCCAAGTGGAAGATTATTCATCAGAGACCTACAGGAGAGGAAAGGGTGGAAGAGGAGAGGGGCTATGGGAGGAGGAAGGAAGGGAGCAGCCCTATGCAAAGTTAACCAGCCTTGTCTCCCAGGAACTCCTCTATTCTGAGGCTGTTAGCCAGCCAGTTTCCTAGGCCCATTCTTTTCGTATCCCTGCCAAACCATCCCTGGGAAAGGCAGGGCTAGACGCTCTAAATCCCGAGGTTTAAGATGATAAAGACCCTCAGAGGCTGGTGTGGGCCTCTCAGGCCTTTTTGTTCCCTGCCCCTTTGTTCCAGCAATTTCTCCCATCTCAAAGGATTTTCAGCGGCATCAAGAGCCTGACACTTTGCCCGTCCTCGTCCTCGTTCTCACAGATGTCTCCAGAGTAAGACAAAGCCATGTTGGCACCAAGGAGGGCCGGCAATAAAGGGGGACTGAGAGAGAAGAAAGCCCCGGGACAATCTGGCTGGGCCCAGTAGATTCAGTTGCTGCAGCAACAGAAAGTCAAACAATGAAGAGGGGAGGGACAGCCATTTTCTTCACTCTGTCCAGTTGTCATGGATACTGAGATTTTAAAACTAAAGGGGTAAAGGGGCTTCCTTCATGCTCTAAAAAAACGGTGTCTTTTCATTCGCTTGGCCCGCATCCTTGCTCTGGGTTAGGGACCTTCCATCCAGAGTCTTATTGGAATCAGACAATCAACTGGGGGTGTTTCCTATATAGATGACCTCCTAGGCACCAGCCCCCAAACTGGTTTTATGTAAAGCTAGGCATATAGACCCAGACACTCGGGGAGATTTCCATCCCTACTTAATCCCTACTCGAAGACCCTGAAGTTACTTCTTCCAATATTTCTCAAGACCAACACAGCTCAGCTCCATCTGTGCCTATCTCCCGGCCTCCTTATCCTAACAAACATTGGCAGCAGTGTCTTGCTAAGCTGGGAAGGCTGGTATGGTGAGGAGGTCACCGGCTTTGGTCAAGACTCATATCTGCCACTCCCCAGAATGACCTTGAACAAGGTACTTGATGGTTCTGAATCTTATCAGGTCAGGTAAATGTAAATTATGATCTCTGCTGTGTGGCACTGCAGATGCCAATGCTAAGTTATGTAATACTAAGGAGGTGCCTGCCATCCCTTAGTACTTAGTCTATACCCAACACTACAAAAGTAAGAAGCCTTTGACCTACCCACTTACACATACCCATACGCTCACACTGAGATGCACACACTTACACAATCAGAAAGATCAGTGGTTCGAGACCTTCCTAATGCTGTGACCCTTTGATACAGTTCCTCGTATTGTGGTGATCCCCAACCATAAAATTTATTTGGTCACTACTTCATACCTGTAACTTTGCTACTGTTACAAACTGTAATGTTGCAGGTTATCTGATTATTTGACCCCTGCTGAGGTCATGACCCACAGGTTGAGAACCACTGAAATAGAAGCTAGATGATAGAAAGAAACATAGATACATAGACAGATAATTGCTAGACAGACAGACAGATGATACACCCACACAGAGGCTCATATAAACACTCTCATTCTTACACACTTATTTTCACACACACAGTTTCCATTTGTGAAATTTTTTTTAAAAATGGGGGAGAGCTTGCTTATTTTAGTCATTTTCTAGCAATAGAGAGTGCAGCTTGCCCAAAACAAGCAATTCTATCTGCCCACCCATCCATTCAACAAACTGAGTTTGCAATGAATGTCAAATGCTAAAGTCATAAAAGGACAATGGGCAGAGTTACCAGCCACTGCTTCCCATTTGCCTGATGATGGGACATTCCAGCCTCACTCTGCTTCTAGGAACTCAGTATGGCCCTGTGACCTCAGCTCTCTTGGCCTCTGTATATTTTTATTTCCCAACACTTGGCAAATCCACGAAACTCCATCTGTGCATGACTGCTTGGACGACGAGGGTAAGGATGGCTCACACGGTGCTGTGGTCAGTGGAGTTGAGCTGGAAGCATTCCCTCTTTGCTAGACTCTGGTAGGTCACATTGACACCAGTATCTCACAGCACTCAGAAATAAACACTTATAAATTTTATAGGTGATAATCTGCCCTGTGGGACTGACTGCTTCTTCCAGCTTGAGTTCCACAGGATCTTCAGCATGGCCTTGTCCTGGGGCTGCATGGGGCCAGCAGCTCCTTTCTTCACCCTCAAGTTGGGAGCCACTTCCAGCAGGTGCCTGAGGGGAGCAGAGGATCCAGGTATATGTGTCTAGTTCAGGTCTGAGATTATCAGTCATTTCATAGTAGCTTCTTAGCCAGGCTTCTGTTTAACACTGAGAGGCAAGGCTTGGCTATGGCTCTACTACTTGTTAAATATGTAACTTGGAAGAAACGAATTTTGCTATTACACTGTCTCAGCTGATGATAGGTTTGTATCTGCTAAACCCAGAACATGCACAAAAGATCATAAGTCAAACATGTAATATACCTAACCTACTGAATATCAAGACTTAGGCCAGCCTACCCATTACACATGTTCAGAACACACACATTAGGTTTTGGTAGGCAAAACTATCTAACAGAAGACCTACTTATAAGGAAGGATTGAGTAACTCATGTGCTTTACTGAAAGTGAAAAACTGAATGGTTATATGGTATACTTTCATTCCATTATAAAGCTGAAAATCATTAAGTTAAACCATCAAAGCCAGGAACTATATTCACTGTTTCTTCATCCTCAAAGTGTAAATAGTAACCCTCATGGGATTGATGGGAAGCACTTTCCTAACAAATATTAAAGATTAATGGCAGCTGTATATACTTTTATTGCAATTACTCCTATCAAATCCACTGTGATGCTACATAAAAATAATGCATCTGCGTATTAAAAGGAACTGAACCGAATGACAGAAAAGTAAAAGCTATTGACTTGTCCAAAGTAGTGGGGTTGGCTGCTCTGACTTTTATCCCACTGTAGTAGTATTTCCAAATCAAAATTCAAAAATTAAAAGGGAGAATCAGAGACTGATTTACAAAAACTACATGAACAGAAAGAAAGTTTAATGGATTGCTCTCCTATCTGTCTCCCACACAGGATTCATTTCTCCTAATGGAACAAATGGAGTTCCAGGAGGGAAGAGATGATCCTAGACTAGACCTCAGACATCAGAAGCAACCCACACTCTCAGGTCAACAGAATTAATTCTGTAACAACAGACAGTTGATTCATAGCACGTCCTCCCCTGAAACCCTCACTCTGCCCCAGATGGAGCGTGCTAGGGTGGCCGTGGAGTATAACGCCTATCTGAGTGCATGAAAAGATGAACACCAGGACCGTCCTGAAGCGTGTGGCCCTTGCTTGAAAGGAGAAAGTGAAATATAGGCTGCGATTCAATTCTCAGCTGGAGAGAGTAATCAAGCTGTCCTTGTAAGGAGGCCAGATGAAGACCGCACAGCTGGCGGGGGGGGGGGGGGGGGTAGGGGTTAGGGGGGGCAGCACCTGGTTCCACCTTAGTGAGGGAGGAGGAGGAGCCAGAAGACCCTGTGGGTATCACGCAGACAAAATAAACACTGATGGAGCAAGCGGAATTGTCCAATCATTCCCCTGGGGGGTTTCGTTGCAGCAGGTCTGCCCAGCCTTTGTCTGCCTGCAGGTACTTAACTACACACTAGCACACTATCTGCTGGTAAAGACAAAAGTCAGGTGCTTGTCAAAGGGTGAGGATTCCATCTCACCCAGTCAGAACAGCTATCACCGAGCAAACAAAGGACAGCTCTCACAGTTGTCCTCGGACCTCCGGACCTCTGCACACAGGCATGCATATAATTAAATAGAGTTTGTTGGCAGAGCAGTTAGAGCCAAAGCCTGGTCTCCCTCAGGGGAGTCATCCAGGTCTTCACAAACGTGAGGTAAACAATGTCCTTCCTCAGTGGCTCTCCACCTTCCTAATGCTGCCACCATTTCCTACAGTTCTTCATGGTGTACCGACCCCCACACATAAAATTGTGTCATTGCTATTTCATAACTGTAACTTTGTTACTGTTACGAATTATACTGTATATACCTGATATGCAGGATATATCTGATATTCAACCCCATAGGGGTCTCAGTTCACTGGTTGAGAACCCTGTCCTGTAATTCCCTCAAGAGCTTAAGAAGGAGGAATGGGATGAAGAGAGCTGAGTTACCTTAACAGAGCAACAGCAAGGAATGAGCTGTCTGCACCATCACCATCATCGCTGCCCTTAATACTCAGCTGTAAAGGAGATACTTGTAAATAACACCAGGTGATTTATACTTCACCCTAAATAATTCTGACACCAGGACTCCCAACTCTTGAGAACTGCTGGCTTCCAGAGTTGACAGTTACCGTATCCTCAGCCTTTTCTCCATCTTCTTCTCTATCTACTCTGCCTTCACTCAGCCTGAGACCCCAGCCTGTGGACAGTGGTTCCCTTGGGAGCTGGTACCACAAAAACTCCTTGACTTGCACTGAGGTTGCATCCTGATAAGTCAGGCTGAAAGTATCACAGGGTAAACGCATTTAACCCAGCCAAGCTGCTGAGCGTCACAACTTATGGGCAGCCTCCTTAGAGCTGCCTTCAATTCCCTTTGGGGTCACGGGGCTCAGTGGGAGCAGTGGCAGCGGCCACAGTCCAGTATCACAAGAGGGTGCCGGGAACATGCACCTGGGCTGTCTCCTATGCTGCTAGTCTTCTCTTAGGTTTGTCCCCTGGCTTCTGTGAACCTCTGTGGCAGCTGGCAATGACAGCTCAAACAAGTAACATCAACTTATAGTGAGGGTTGCAAGTGCCGAAGAGCTAATCTTCCTGGTCTCTGGGGAAAGTCACCCGCAGGCACAGAGCGAAAGACAGACACCCGCCTGCCAGTGGCACTCTCCCATTTATGCTCATTCTCTCCTCTAAGTCTTCCCGTCTGAAAGCAGTTCGTTAGTGGACTCCCTAAGACAAGCACGAAGTGCCCAGCACAGCCCAGAGCCAAGGATGCAGCAGAAGTCGCAGGCTCCTCCCATTAGCAAACGTTATTTGACGTCATTCACCCAAGACTCACAGGACTCTCAAGAGCCCTGCCGTTCATAGCTGCATAGCAGACAGACAGATGGAAGGGATGCAGTGAGGGCTCTGGGCACGGATGGGAAATGCAGGCCCAGGGATAACCGGGAAAAAATTTTAATAATGTGTGTGTGTGTGTGTGTGTGTGAGAGAGAGAGACAGAGACAGAGACAGAGACAGAGACAGAGACAGACAAAGAGAGAGAGGGCAGAGACGTGAGGAGAGAGCACACACGTCAGGTGCACACTCGGAGGTCAGAGGACAACTTCACGGAGTTGGTTCCTGCCTCCTGCCTTTACAAAGACAAGCTCCAGGCCATCAGGCTGTGTAGTGAGCACCTTTACCACCAGGCCATCATGCCAGCCTTTGGCTAGCAATTTCAAATGATGAATACGGTCTCAGCCTTTGGCACAACTGCAAAGGGGGTGAGGCTGGTGCAGTGTCTGACAGCGAGGTAAACTAAGCATGGCTCGCTGTGTCTCCTGCAGCTCACACCATGTTGAACCCACTGGAAACAGCATCGGAGTCCGCCCAGCTATTCGTGTAAGAATTCTAGGGAATTCTGGGAGTCAGTAGGACTGACTGTGCTAAGTAACAGCATGACCCTGGGGTGGGAGAGGGGAAACACAAGTGTCAGCAGATGTGTCAACTACCCCTAAAAACGTTAGGAAATAATGACAGGAAATGGAGACTGATCAGGGACAGGGAGTGATTGCCCAAAAAGAAGCAAGAGGATGCCCAAATGTGTCACTACACTGTCCTCTGTTTCTCTAGGCTGTAAGGACTTGGGATACAAACATGATTTGTACAAGTTCACAAGAGAAACTGAGGCTTGGGAAGGACGCGGGCTTCATAACTCCGTTCTCCCTAAGGTTCCTGGGCTCAGTGTCTGCCCTGGCTATTGCCTGACAGCATGTCTCTGCCACCTGGCTGACAGCTTGATGCCGGCCTGTCACCCCTGAGCATCTGATCATAGGGTTAAGGCTCCTGGTAACAGGCCAAGGATCAGAGCGGAACAATAGCCCAGTCCTGGGGGCTGATGCTAAGCACCAACCCCAAACCCTGGTCCTGCCATTCACTGCTGAACGCCTGCTGCTGTGCATGCTAATCCAAATTGGGTTCAAGCCCCCAGCCTCTGCCTCCATTGTTGGACTGCACTTTTCATTCAGCGTGGGATTGGAGATCTGGTGAAACCTTGTGTTGCCAGTAAGAGAAGAGGAGATTTCATTAGTCTCAATAAAAATGAGTTCCTCTTATTGCTATCTTACAAAGAAAAAAGGGGTGGGGGGCATGAGAACATTATGTTTGTCTCTCAAAAAAACAAGGAAAAAAAAACAGGCAAAACCTTTTCAGCAGATGGTTGAAGCACACAGCTTTACAAGTCCACAGAAGGAACAACCACCGCCCTCCATCTCTGGTCTGCTTTTCTTACCCGAGATTTTTCAATTGTTCTTCTTTTCCTCCTGGGATGCTTCTAAGCACAACATCTATGAACCTTAAAATGGAGAGTGTTTAAAGACGCAGAGTCAACGTGAGAGGGTGGGCGAGATGAAGGCTCACCGAGAAATGGCACCAAGCCTGATGACCAGATTTTGATTCCCCAGAACCCTGACTCCACAACTCAGATCTCTGTGTGCAAATGCAAACAGACAGACAGACAGACAGATGTCTTAAGGAGTGTGAAGGAGAAGGTGACACACAGAATCTGTGAAAAGCAAGAAAAAACTTGAACAGGGAAATTTGCCTAAAAAAATATATATATTTCTATTGAATCTTGAGTGTTTCAGGAAAAAAAAAACCTCGAAGATGACCTATGAGACCTTTTTGACACACAGATGCACACATGTACACACTCATGAAGATGCATCAAGAGAGGCCAAGAGGGGTGTGTGATTTGTCTGAGGCAATGGATACTTGATTAAGGCCTGTCAGAACAAGGACTGCTCATGCTAATTTGTCTGGAGAGTTCTTATGCAAATCTCAGCAAATTCCTCCCAGGGAAAGCAGCCACGGTGACCCTTTTACCTAATCAGCTCTCAGCACTTCCTGCTCACTGATGCTCACTGCTAGACCCTTTCATCCACTCACAGGTGTCTGATAAGTGACTTCATGGCGCAGGGCAGGCAGGAGTTAGCACACTGTGGCCAGCGGCTCATGTCCAGCATGCTGCCTCCTGTTTGGGGAGTATAATAGTATAATTTGAACAGCTTTTAAATTTTATAAGAATTGGGGGGGGAGGTCTTAATCACATTTCACGACACATGAAATTCACCTCCCAATGTTTGTGAGCTGGGGGTGAAGCGCAGTTGGTAGAGTACTTGCCTAGCAGCACAAAGGCCCTGGTTCAATCTCTGAATCACATGAAGCTAAAGTTGTTGATGTACTCCTGTAATCCTAGCACTCAGGAGGATCAGGAGTTCAGGGTCACCCTCAGCCACACAGCAAGTTCTTGAGGCCAGCCTGGGATACATGATGAGCCCCTGTCTCAAAAGAAATGCATTCCCCTTTGTCCTACACACACACACACACACACACACACACACACACACACAGCCTAGAACCTTACTTTTCACCTCTCTACAAACTAGCTCCTGAACAAATTAACATTCCACCCTGATTCTTACGTTTCTACAGGCACAAATATGCTATTTTTTTTTTTTTTTTTTTTGCTACACAAAAGGTCCCTTGCTCTGGCTCTCAATCTCTGGCACCTCAAGCATGCTTTCTTCTTGCTCTAGCAAACCCAAAGTGAATGTTCAGCACCCTGCTGATAGGAACTGTCACCACTTCCCCTTGAAGAGAGAAGCACTAACAGCAGGTCTGGCTTGACTGGCCTTTTCCTCCTGTTAGTGTAAATAAAGTATGGATCACATCAGACATCACAGGACCAATCGCACACACATCAGAGGGACCAATAGGACTGAACAGATGACTCAGGATAAAGTGCTGGAAGCCATGGAAAAGCTAGGTAGATAGAGGGGCACACCTGTAATTCTAGAGCTTGAAAGGGCAAGACGGGACACCCCCAGAACAATAGCTAGACTAGTCATATTGGAGAGCTCTGGGTTTAAATGGAAGTCCCTGTCTCAATGAATAAGTCATATTGGAGAGCTCTGGGTTTAAATGGAAGTCCCTGTCTCAATGAATAAGTCATATTGGAGAGCTCTGGGTTTAAATGGAAGTCCCTGTCTCAATGAATAAGGGGGTAAGTGATCAAGAAAGACTTGATGTCAATCTTGGGCCAACACCCATATGCACATACACATGCATGTACAGCCACACATTTACATGCACATATACATATGCAAACATGAATGCACACATGTACAAACACCACAGGCACATAAACATGCCAAAAAAGGACCAACACATGTTAGTTCT